ACCAAACACCTAAGCTAGCAATCCGTGAAACCTGAATGTAGGGCCGTTGAGATCTTGCACCACAAGCTCAGCAATCCAGAAGACAGACGTCTCAAATATGAAAGAGACCCCCAACGAATTGCTTTGCTGGGAAAACCATGATTTGACACCGCAGAGGCTTAAGCTTGAAAAACACGGCTAACAAGCACGACATCAATTCTCACGCTTGAGGGACCAGTGCTCAAAATCCACTGGTCTTAACGTATACTTCAAGAATCCATGGTTAACAACACCAAGCCATACCAAGCCCAGGCATTGACTTGAAAATGCCAAGCCGCGGCGTATTCACCGACAGCTTCGCCAGGCGATGCAGGGATGTGGAGAGGTTCACCAGGTTCCTGGGAAAGGTTTGGGGGTTGGCCTTAGATGCTAGGATACAGGGCTTGTGCGCGGTGGGCGGGCTCTGAGGTTTTGGAGCTAGGGTTTCTTGTCTGTCTCTTCTTTCAGGGTTTAGGGGTTCCTAAGCACTGGGTTATGGAGTTTTCTTTTGGAGGCTTAAGGGTTCAGGAGTTTTGGGATGAGAGTCGGAGGTGCACAGGGAGGGGAGACATGACTTCAGGGAATGAAGGCTAAGGGTTCCAAAGTTTAGGGTTTAGGGTTCCTAATGGCACTGCTGGCTTGCGTGGGTACACGAGGTATACATGGGCTACTTGCAGATCGTTTTGGGGCATCAATCATAGCACCTGCCGCGAAGTATGGGGTTCTATATACGGGAGGGATTCTACAATGATCAGGACTTGATATGGGGAAGGTTATGCTTAGTCAGCCCAACCTCCTTATTCTTCCTTACAATAAGGACCGGCGCTTGACGTTCAGCATCTGAGCACATGCGAGAGTAGGGCTTAGGGTTTTAGGGTTAGTGATCAGTAATTGACCCGTACTACTGAAAGCACTTGTCGCACTACCGAAAAGACGCACTTCGTGGAAATGCAGTACTGACAAACGCAGAAAAAAGCAAGGATAACATAGGGTATCGAATTAAAATAATCATTCCTCCCCGCCCCCACCCGCCAAAAAAACAGAGTTCGTTTGATAACCTTCTCACATCGCCTGAAATCTAGAACTCTGCGCCGTGTGGAGTTTAACCGTTAACGCAGGGCTCAGGGAATTCGTCTCAGCAAGTAGGTCAGAAATGGCTCCCCTAACTGGGCCCAGCCTTCTTATAATCCCATGGAAATGTACACAAAGACTCCCCTGAGCCTCTAAGTAGTCCAGGGCTCATGTCCCGAATGTGGCTCTCAACCACTGCAAGAATGCGCTGAATGCCATTGTCCTCCCTCGATGCTTGGATGATCTGGCTGTTGATCCTCAGGTGCTCAGATATCCGTTCAGGGGTTCTACGGGGTAGAAGCAGGCATATGGGGCTTGGGGTTTAGAGGGTCTAGGAGTCTAGGATTTATGGGTATGTTGAAATAAGGCTTTGGAGGGGAGTATAGGGAACCCCTACCTAGACCTCTTAACCCTACCCCCCCTTTTTAGCGTGCCTCATCTTGTATAGGAAATACTAGACTTCAACTTAAGTAGGCTATCCTAAAACCAGGGTAGGTTATTTGGGAGAAACTCCTAGATGGCGACAAACAGGCCCCCTCCCCTACATGGTGACTATAAGAATACGGATTCTAGTGCCGAGCCCCCTTCCTCAAATATGGATTGTAGTAGGGTTTCTGATGTTGATATCAAAGCCCTTACAAGGGAGGGCTTCTTAAATCAGGGGTCTACCTTCGGGGGTCTAAGAAATTAAAACATTTCTTGTAGAATAGGGTCTGCAGCATAATCAGCCACAGTATTAGAAGGGTCATAAGTCGCAAATGGTACTAAATCTTCCGGCTTCTACACCATCCCAGAACCCAAAACTCTAAACCCTAAACCTCTAAACTCTAAACCGCGCACGGCGTCCAAGGGCAGGAATTCCGCTTTGCTGCAGGGCTGCCGTTGCCTCAGCTGCTCGAAACTTGGATAAGTCAGGATGTTACACAGACCTTGTAGGGTTACGGGGACCTGGTTCCCAGGGTTTTGGGGTTTTGGGTCTAGGGGTTTAGGGGTATAGGGTTTAGGTTTAGGGATTATGGACTACTTGGAGCGTCTAGGGGACTCAGTATGTTAAAAACGCCTAAAATCCATCCTGGGTTTGAGCTAACTGAAAATGGCCCCGTATTACATCATACCTAAAACTCCGCGGGCATTCCCTAGAAGCCCACATATGTATCTGTGTATCTATATTGATATATATATGTATACATATATACCCTAACATTTCATTTCTGTTCCCGAAAAATCCTATGCGATCCCAGTGCGCATTCAGAGATTCCATAGACATGCGGTTTATGATTTAGGGTTCAGGGCCCTAAACTCTATAAGGTGATTTCCCGAAATTTGGAGTACCATTTTGGGGATAAAAGGATTATAGTATTTCGGGGTCTATATTGGGAGTCCCCCTACTACCATAAATCCCTTTGAAGGCCAGGTACCTTCGCCCGACCCACCCCGCCCTCGGCCCTTCATTGGCCCACCGTCGCCAACTTTTGGCCAGGGACCCGCTGTAGGTCCTTGGTAGCAGGAAGGTTTGGGGTTTAGGGCTGGGGGTTAAAACCGCTTGATGATTTAGGAGGTTGGCGCTTGAGGTCTGGGGTGTAGCTTGAAGGGCTTAGATTTTGGTGAGTTTAGGATTTGGAGTTTGGATTTCTTACTCAGACTCCTGCGTGGTTGGGCCTGGGCGGGACCCCTCTGCGGCCCCTACATCTTCTCCAATGACAATTTGCGTGCTAGTTCCTGGAATACCTATTTTCCAATCCGTGACAGAAGATTCACCTGAAGGTCCATGGGACTCAGTTACCAATCGCTAGGACCACAACTTTTCGTACAGTCACCACTACCTGGGTGAAAAACATCTCGCGGAGGACTTGATGTTTAGGGGTGAAGGTGGGGAAGCATTTACTGACAAAGACGTTAGCAGCCGTCTGAATATCCGCTTGTGATTTCTTCAATCTTCCAACAGCCTCGACAGTCAAGGGTTCACAAATTACGACACTGCTCCAACGTCCCAACATGGAAGCACTTGTAGGTCCCCTTTTCGGGAGATTAGAATTAGTCCCCTACGTGGCGGTTCGTGGGACTTGCTAACCTACTTGCTCATAACTAGGCTACCAGTCTAAACTTGTAACTACTTCAACGGACATAAGTTAAGGTCATAATATTAAGACCCTACGGTAAAAGGCTGTATAAATAAGTGATTCTGCGGAGATCAAGATTTGGCATGGGGAGGCTAGGGCGTAATCAGCTCCTGACTTGCACTTTTTTGGGGTCCTAACCCTTAACCCACGGCCTTGTCCCATGAACCTCGAAGTCAACCTTCACCCTGAACCCAAGCGGCCCAAAACGCCCCAACCAAGGGATATACCTCTAAGAGGCACTAGGACTCCCACAACATGATTTGTGGAATAATCCTCAGCTAGGGGATATTGGGCTCCCATACACCAACTGACAAATATACCCCAAATATTACTGGGATCCCTCATATGATTTCGTATATTCCTCAATTTTGAGGCACTGGGCCCTAAACCTTACACCCTAAACCCACCCTAGAACCCTCAAACCCGGAAACAACAATTTAGTCTGCCAAGGTTCCCTCGGTCACCAAGGAAGAGCAGCACAAACCAAGAAAGGGGAAAGGGGTTCCTTCGAGAGGAGCCTGTCTGTTCTTGTGCCAAAATGGCCTTCGGGTTTGGGGTTTAGCGGGGTCTGTTCTTGTGCCAAAATGACCGTGCTCCTAGACGGTCATGAGGCTATCCCACGCAATTCCTGTAGCAAAGGCCCGAGGCCAACTATCTCCTCTTAGAAGTCCTATAGAAACCTATATTCTGAAGCCGAAGCCTGTAGGGGGTTCCAATTACCCTTAGAACCCCCATTGAACCCCTACCCTATGTAAACCCTTAGCAACACAAAGCCCTGTAGACTACCAGCGGTTAAAGGCTAAGCCTGTCTGCGACATCCCCAAACATTGCTGTTCCTGTGTTGGGCCCTCAAATGCAACTCACCCCGTGCAGGGCTTGCGTGTTCTTGGAGAAGTAGGTTAAGTTAGGTTTATGATTAGGATAACTAAGGTTACTAAATGGGTCATAAGGGTCATTAACCTACTAACCAAGTCATCCTGACCCTCCAGGTCATGGCCAAGGGCTTCTTGCAAAGCCCTAGCCGGGAAAGCAGTGAAGGCCACCGCTACTATCGCAGTTGGAGGCTCTCTTGACTTGTTTGCTTAAGATTCGGTTTTACAGTATGGGGCTCATACTCAGTGTTAGAGTGAGTGGCCTTATTAAGTCTACAGACCCTTCCAATAAGCCCGATCTGTTCCAGTTTTACGACTTGACGACAAGGTTCCTCTGGGAGCTCTCCGGGGCTCCATGTCTACCTACATTGGGCCCCAATGCCTATAAATAGTACGTACCTTGACCTATTTGGAGCCCTAGAGTTTGGCATAGAATGAGAACCCCCACCGTTCACCCCTTTAAGTAGATAGAATTTGGCTTTCGGTAAAGTACAAGAAAATCTCCATATTCTATTTACTTAAAGGGGACTATAGCTTCAGGAGCTTCGGGGTTCCTCCCAAAAAACTTTAATGGATGGTGGGTCGGATAGCAGCCCTAGGGTCTCGCAGGAAAGCCCCAATATGCCTTTTGGGGTTTCTAGGGTTTCGGGATCTATGGTGTGGATTTATTGGCCACTATTGGTGGGGGATGGAACCATCTGTGGCATACCTTGCGCGCCCCCAAGTTTGAGGCAAGTGGGGTCAGCAAGCGGCATCGGAGCAAGCGAATCCTTCTTCCGTAGACTAAGTAGGCATGGTGTGAAACACTAGGGTACCCAAGCATCAAGCCCAAACCTTAGTGTACATAAATGCTTTTTTGCAAGATATACCTAAAAGCCTCTGCTGTATTTCCATGCGATCCCCTAAGAGATCCGACGGCCTGTAGGTCTTGGAGCCCTCGCCGTCCAAGAGGGCCTCAGGACATTCTCTGAGGGCCAGAACCGGCTAAAGCACTTCACGGGGTGGAATCTGGTCCCATCGGGTTTAGAGTTTAACTCGGTTGGCGCCTAAAGCCCTTTGAAAAATATTAGTATATAGGGTCCCCTATTAAAGCCATTAGGGAAAATATATCAAATATCCCAGGGGCCTACCCAGTTAAGGTTTAGGGTAAGCTACACCTTCAGATGAAGTGGAGTGTGGCCAGCATGACCTCCGAGCATAGATAAGCTTGCGCCAGCTTCAAGCGGCACTATTTAAACCTCGAAGCAGCCAGAAGTGGCATAAGTACTTGGAATAAGATGTTTGGGCCGAGTATGCTATAGTAGGCAAGGATGCGCATCGACCATGTCTGCAACTACTTTGCTTTTAAGTACCCATGGGCCTTCACATGCCGGAGTCCTTTTCAACCTATGGAGCTCCTATCATCCCTCAGCTAAAATGAAGCGCTCATCCCCACCCACCCCGGAGCCACCAAACCCTCTAACCCCAAATGACCAATACATTGGGGCTACTGTTGGGAGAATCTAATGCTTGGGGTTTATGGTTCAGGGGGAGGTTAGAATCGTCGAGCAAGACCACTATCTGAAACCCAAGCCCTGAAACACTTTCAGCCCGTAACCGTGACTTGTGTACGGGCCGAAGTACTCAAAATAGGATCGGGTACACGAGTCCATAGTTATGTGCAAGGACCATGAGGGCATGATGTTGGTAATTGCAAGTCTCCAAGCTTCTGCATACCCGAAGCCTCACCCTGGACCCTAGACCCCATCCCTTAACCCAAAACAGTAAACCCTTAATCCCCATGTATTCCCTAGTTTCCATTTCATTTTCCATTCTCTTTTCCATTTGATTCTCCATTATTGGGGTAGTATCTACTTAAGGATGTAACCCCTATATAAACCGCATATAACCCTAAACCGAACTGACAGGTGACCAGCTCCCACCCGTGGCCGCAATGATCATCATCCGTGCAGGTCGTCGAACGTCGCCTGCGTTTCTGGCTTCTCGGTCAAGGGGTTGGGGGTTTGAGGCCCTTAGATTCGTCTGGACAGTTGAGATTGTCCTTGTAAACCCTATAAACCCTGAGCCCTAAAGCTATCTTTTAAATGGAATTTGCACAAGCTCCTCTTGTTGCTGCATGAGGCCCTTACATACACTATGTAACATAAACCGAATTCATCTTCTGATGGCTTGGCCCTTGAAGGCATCATGCAGCATGCCCCAAACAGCTTGGGACCTAACATAGGGGCAAAAGCTCTTTTTGGTCAGATGCCTTCTGGCTTGCCGAGTGTTGGTGTCGACGACGGCATGAAAAAGAACATGCTAATTACTACAAAAATCTACAAATAGTCTGGACTCAGGTAAAAAAAACGAAAACGGATGTGCTACACTACTGGGGAGAAAAAACGGCTGCCAGCCGCATGCATGTAATTCATTTCTCCATGCCCTTCCCAGAACCAGCAAAGCAAAGAACCAACGGTGCATCCGCTAGAGCGAAGCCTTTGGAAGGAAACCATAACCTCACCAGTGCTTGAGGGAAAGCAGGCAGGTGAATCCTATATTAATCTCTAAGTAACATCAGATAGCAGCTGCGGAATTCCCTCCTCACATCCCTTAAGCACCACTGAGAAACTCGAAGCTCTGAAGCCTGTCTTGGCTGATCTTTGCTACATTTTCAGAAGTTGAACGCTTACGTGCCCGCAATCTGAGGAGGCTAACAAAAAGCCCGCACACCCCTAGTCTTCAAGTGTATCAATGCCTAAACCCCAAAACCTAAACCCGAAATCATCCCCTGAGATCCGATGTAGTCTCTAAGAAGCTTTCCATAAACATCTGGACCCCAGTATAGACCTCCACATATTATACTCCTTCTTATAAGGACCCCCAAAATGGCACCCCCAAGTTTGGGAAAGCCTAATCCCTAAACCCTTCTAGAACCTCAGTTTCCATATCACTCTCCATTTTCTTGTCCATTTGATTCTCCACTACTGTGGTAATATCCATGATTCTGGGAAACCTGCCCAAAAACGGCCCATTAAAGACGACCACCGTCCAAAAGCTGACCTCTGGAGGATCATGGGCTTCTTGGAACCGGTGCCTGGGTTTGCTTGCGTCTGCTTAAGGATAAGTGGGGTGGGTGTATCCCTATAATCCTATATAACCCCTATAGTTTCCATTTTCTTTTCCATTATCCCTATATAACCCCTATAAACTATAACCCAGTGGGGTAGCCTGGATTCACTCCACCACTCCCCATTCAGCTGTAAGTTTGGGGTGGATTTGACATGTGCGTTCTTTGCAGGTCTTGCGGCTCATCGTTGCAAAGCTCAATGCGACCGATTGTTGAGGGCTCAGGGTTTTCAATCTTGTGGCGGGCACGAAAAGGCCAGCAGATCCACTGAAAGCCTCAACCTTAAGAAACAACTTGATGTTGAGTGCGCACGATTTGGCTTCCCCTCCGGGAGTCCTGGTGCGAATCATCAATCCCCTCCCCCTAGCACAAAAAAAAGCACCTTCAAATTAAATATCCCCAAGACACTATAGTAGTGTACCACACCGGGAATGATCAGCATTAGGGGGTTAGGTGGCTTTAGCGGGATTATGAACAATCAGTCACCACCCCAACTTTTCGCTGTGATAAAGCAGTCATATGGCTTCTGCAAGGAAATTGTGTAATGTCTTTGTAGCTACTCTTGTGCTCTTGGAAGGCTTTGACGCACAAACTTTCGTGACGCGACGTCAGGTCAACGGACCGTCTTGTAGCATCCCAGCACAGCTTCAGAGCCCGGCCTTTACATGTTGAAGCTAGCTCCCCAAAAAGAGGCCGTCAAAAATCCACAAACCTTAGCCCTTTTTGTGCCCCACATCCGGAAGCCTTTTTGTCTAAGGACTGTAGGAGGGACCCCTAGTAGGGACCCTTGAAGCTTACGGAAGCTAATATGGGAACTACCTAGGAATATAAGAGCTATATAATGATATGTTTGTCTCCCTTGGTATTCTATGCTGTGGTTCCATAAGAAGACATCACATCAACAAAGATTCCAGCGCTTACTCTCCATCAATAGGGGCCCCACAAGGACTACTGACTAGTGGCCCTTCCAGACAAGGCGAAGGTTCTATGGTTATATAGGGATAGTGGAAAAGAAAATGGAAACTACTGTAGTATTTGGGGTTTAGGGATTAGGGTGTAGGGATTACAGATTAGGGTTTAGGGATTAGGGTTGGGGGTTTAGGGATTAGGGTTTAGGGCTTAGGGGTTCGTCGCCCAGGGTGCCGAACATCGGTGTCTCGAAGAACTTGTCTGAGAGAGCCTGCAACAGCGCTGCCATTGCTATGCTCTCGCATCACTCGGTTGGCCCCTAAAGCCCTTTGAACAAGATTAGTATATAGGGTCCCTCTTAAAGCCATTAGGGAAAGTGTTAATATCCCAGGGGCCTACCCAGATCACTCTACTGCTGAAAACTCCCACCTCTGTGATACTGTATGTTCATTAGTGCATACAATCGTCTCACTGAAACTACCTAGAGGTTGAACCCAGGAGGACTGTTCAACACAAGTCTGTGAATTCCGCTCGGGAATCAAACCGTCACCAGTGAGTAAATCAAAGCGTAGCGCCCCATGCTGCAGCTATTTCTTTCTGAATGAACCACTTCAGACTGTCGGTCACCCTGCTTTACACCCCTGAGAAAGGAACTCAAAACGGACTTCCATGCACAGTAGCACCTGCATTATTGTCAGGTTTCGGCCGTAGTACTTGGTGTGGAAGCGCACCTCTGTTCCTCGGCGTTAGTCATCATTTCCCGCGAGGTTTACCACTCTGCTTCAGCTTCATCCATTATTCAGCTGTGGCACTGCAAACATTAGGGGAGAGATTAATCAGGAGAGAGGGCGGGAGCTTGAAAAGTTAGGAGACGCCGTCGATCAGCGAAGCGGCTTCAGCTGGAATTCCGTGACACCATCATGCAACACCCCGCCCTACCCGGTGACAATGAGAAGTGAACCCATGCAACAAGCGCGCCCTTTATTATGCTTGACCATGTTCTCTCCACTGGTACTACACCAATGCATACTACTAACCCCATCGCTGCCACTACAGACAGTGCCCAGTACTACCACCGCTACCAGCACAAGCCCAGCACCACTAGCACCAGCATCAGACGCCATTCTCAGCCCCAGCACCAGAGCCAACACGACCACCGTCACTACTACAAGTACCACCTTCACCACTACCCCTACCACTGCACGACATGTTCTGGCATCGTGGGCAGACAGGGCAGGACAAGTTGAGAACGGGCTCCCTCCAGCAACATCGTGGGGCCGTTCGAAGGAACCAGCACAGACTCCTCTCAGACGTTTGGCATACACACACAAGGTCAAGGATGTAATGGTTGTGTTGAGGGGTTCATGAAATGGAATAGGTCCCAGGGCGATGAAGTACTGGGATGAGGGTTTAGGGCTTAGCACTGAAGACTTGAGGTGGAAGATGTGGTGTCAGGATACCATGGCTTTAGGCGTTCAACTTGCATCATCGGCTGCCGTTCTTCTCATTCGCACTACGGGAGCTGTACGTAATAACGGCTAGAACAGAAGCTCCGAAATCCGGAGCCTTCAAGAGCACTAGACCCCGAAAGCCTACAGTCACATAAGCCTTCTCAGACAATTTGTGCATTTCCACAACTCGGCGTCCCCTGTGCATTTCTGAGATTACCAGAACCCTTACTACTAGAACTTCCAACAGGGGGCAATAAGTTTCTAGACTTGCTGGTTCCTAGTCGCGAATGACAGAATATAATCCTTATGAAATCCCCATATAATGTACTTCCATATTCCCTACTAAGCATCAGGAAGTTTGAAAATCGCCAGGCAATGGGAAGCCAAGACCTGTGCCCAGGCGCAGCGAGCTCAACTGCCATATGAGCTATGGTGTAAACTCCTTAAAGGGGATTATATGGGGGATTATATAGGGGATTACTATAGGGGTTATTAAGGGCGATACTAGGAGTTTAGACTATGGCTCATATGGTAGTTTCCCTTAAGTAAGGGGACCCCAATGTAGACCTCTAAATGCTATAGCTGCCATAATCCTGTGTATTGGGACCCCCAAAAAGGTTCCCCTAGTTTTGGGACACCCCCATTTCTAGAAATCACCCTGACTCCATATCCATACCTATATCATCCTAGAACTCTCGCTGAAGAAGATGTGGTAGTTTCCTAAAATAAGGGCACCCCAATATAGACCCCAATAAGCTATAGTCCTTATTATGGGGACCGCCAAAAATATACCCCTAATTGTGGGAAACCCCCATGTATGAGCGTGTGTGTCCTCATGGCCTGCCGAGGTGAGTAAGATGCCTTTGCAGAGCATCTCCTCGCATGAATTGTGGGGACTTTGCCAAACAAGGGCTCTATTGAGTAGCGTTTTTTGGTGGTTGAACCTAGTAAGATAAGATCCAATATATAAAATACTATACCCCAAAAGGAGGATATAGTCTTACTCTATATTATAGTATCCTCAAATAGACTACTACTCTATTAGGGTTAGGTACGGCTTACGTAGGTGCCGGTTATGGGGATATCTAGGCTTTAGGTCCTTGGAGGCTTCTGAAAAACAGGGGGGTCCTTAGTTGCTGTGGGACCATGCAGGGTGCTAGATGCACTGTATATGTCGCGCTGGGAGCTTGTGTTATTACCGGAAGGGAGTAGCACTGGCCTTCGCCGACAAACAGAACAATCAACCTAGGACTCCAAATAGCCCTATCTAGGTACCCAATGTAGGTATTATCTATAGACATGGAGCCCCAGGGTCATGACCAGAATCATAGTCAGCAGTCATAGGAGGGGTTTAGGTAAACCACGGGACCTACAGGCTGGGCAACAAGCCGTCCATCCGTAGTCCACGCCTGCGACTGTACCAAAGTAGTATAGTAGGCTGTAGAATTAGAAGGGCTTCGCCGGAAAACATTTGAGGGTTTTCTGGGGACTACATGTGACTGTACACAGCGATATCTGAAGGTTAGCTGGAGTATATACAGGCACATACTGCGGCATTCCTGGGCTTGCATGGAAGGCGATGTCACTTATTGTTTGGGAGAATTCGACATGATCCCGTCACCTGTATTTCAAAGGTTCCGCTGAGAAAGCTACCTAGTAAGAGCTGGCCGAGCCTTCGTTTTGTTTCCCAGCACAGACTAAACCCTCGAAGTTCAAACAGAACATGATGCGGAGTGACCTACACACAATAAATGGCAGCCCCATGCGTTCCCAATGTCATCCTGCACAAAGTAGATCGCATCCCTTCGGTTCCCTATATCATCCTCTCCATGCAAACTGATTGCAGTACCCAAAAGCTCATCGAAGTGTGGACTTATCTAATGCATATACTGCCGCATTGCCTAACTGCCATATACCTTTTCACCCGACCTCCTGACCTACATGTCGCCATTCCTGCCTACCCCGAACCACTTAGGCCAGGATCAACTTGCAGGACGGTTATATGTTACTTGTAAAATTCGAAAGTAAGCTACATAGAACCACTTTAGACATACACCACCATTTAAGGTGAGTTTAGGTGAGATCATCATAACTGGCCCAGACTTTTGCCGTCAGGGCTCGGCACGTCGATATTGGCTCATCTCAGCGTAAAACCTAGAGATGCCACACTTGTGCTCGTGAATCAAGCCTGGGTGAGGCTGCAGGGGTAGGGGTTTGGGGCGTAGGGTTCTTGGCTAAGGGCTTCTAGGACTGGCCAGGGGTCTTAGGGTTTGAAGGTTTAGGGTTTCTAGGGGTGGTAGGGGCATAGAAGGATGTATGGGGATAGGTCGGGATGTATAGGGGTATATAGGGATATATAGGAGTGGACGAATGACTGAAAAGAACATGGAAACTGAAACAGAAACTGCCAATATGTAGGGGTGAACAGGGATATAGTAAGTAGGCGTAGAAAGTCAAAAGAGCCTCCAATCTGGACACTACTCCCACCCTGTAAGAGTCATATGTAGCATATATGTGTGTGTCTACTATGACCCTCAACGAATTTACAATAATAAAACAGCTGCAGCATTAATTTTGGGGGACGATTCTATTCGGTGGCTGTATCAATGGTCTAGCGGTCTAGGGTTCAACTTCTTGAGAAGGAAGGATCAAGGGCTCGGGCTTTGGCAACGGCAAGGCTGTCACAAATGCAGGGGTTTAGGGTTTAGGGTTTAGGCTTCTGTCAATTCTGGCCCCTCGTTGGGGGCTGCATATTCTCACATCATTTGGGGGGTCCAAATACTCTGAGGCAGGGAATGTTGGAGGTGCTAACTTTCATTCCACCATCCGCAGGATTAAAAACAAACTGAGCACAGGTTGTGAGATTGCAGTGCGCACGGCGTCAACTTGACATGCTGGGTCTGTTGTCGGAACTGGTGCCTAGTCGGAGAATAATCAGGACTGTAGAGAGTCGATTCCTTGTTGGGCGTTTCTGTCAACAAACAAAAGTCGCTTTCAACAATGACTCAAAAATCGATCCCAAAGCCTACGGACCCGACAAAATGGTCCTATGACATCCAAGACGAAGCATAAGGAAGTCCACAAATGACCCACCCGTCAAGGGATGCACTAATTGGTAGGAATCATGTTATGTCTTAAAAACCACATAAAAATATCGACGTACACGTGTCTGAAGGAAGACTTCATTGACAACCTTCAGGCAAAGGCTCTATCAACCATGGCCTGGTCGACCTCCTGCAGATTGCGTGGGGATATATTGGGATTTTACATATATATATATATACATACATATGCATATAAGGTTTAGGGATATTATCTCAATCACAATGAGATGGGCGAAATAAACGGAATGGGAAGCGGGATTATAAAAAGGTTCCTCCTGAGGTGGGAGAGTTGCTTGACATAGCCAGGCGCTTGCATTTTGAAACGCTGCTGATATCTAGAAAAGTATAGTCCCCCTTAAGTAGATAGAATATGGGGTATATGGGGATCTTAGTATAATATACCCCAAAGCCATATTCTATCTACTTAATGGGGACTATAAGTGTAAGGGATTGCAGGATATTATCTGGTTGTCACTTGAGCTTTGCCCAATTGTTGATGTGGATGGTCTGCCGGGCGTGGGTATGTCGGATGCCTTTCCAGAGGCTAGGACAGCAGAATATCGAGTATCCAACCTCTGTGCTACCTCTTGGAAGAACCAGCGCGGAACCCCTTGCAGGGTCCCTGTCAGTAGAATTTGTCGGGCCCTTTGAGGGACCCATGTCAGTTTTGGAGGTGGCAGGGTACAAAAAAACAAAAATGAGCTGAACCTCCAAAAGGACTTCTGCAATCATAACCAAGTTGTGGAGCAAATGCAGCCCTAAACCCTAAACCCTATGCCCTAGACCCTAATGCAGTCCTAAACCCTAAACCCTAAGCCCTAAACCCACCTATTACTTACAACTATGCCAGAACCTTGTAGGATACCATCGGACTAATATGAGCTATAGTCTAAACTCCTTATAGGGGTGGGTTTTATAGGGGATTATATAGGGGCCTACTGTAGGGGTTATTAAGGGGGATACTAGGAGTTTAGACTATAGCTCATGTGGGAACCTCATACTGTAGCTGGCCTTGAACCAATGACTCAACGCCAAGCAGATAGACATGTACATGTATATAAATGGAGACAGATAACTGCTTACTGTTCCATCACCATAAGCTGGGAAGGAAAAGCGTAGAACGTATTTTTTCGTTCTCAACCCTTCTCAGAAAAAAAACCTGTCCATGTTTGAACAAAATGCAAGCCCACGCTGCAGAAATGCAGAACTGACTATCAGGGTAGTATTGGGAATGTGCTCTGGGACCCGCACTGTTTGTATCTAGCCCAGCATGATTACTAGCTGAGTTCTGCTGCCGTCCTTGCCCTTGACTTTGGGCTTCTCACCCTTCTCGTTGATGTAAAGGCCTTAGACGCAACTACACGCAACTGGCCACGTCCAGGCACACATCCATACAAGAAAATACATGGGGCTTGTTGTGACAAAGCTCACACCATGAAGATTCTGTGCAGATTCATGAAACCGTGCGGCTCCATCCATGAGTCTCTAGTAATCCCCAACGTGCCCTTAATGGGAGACACCTGGAAGTTCCCTGGAATCCTCAGTCATCGCCAGGGTCCCCAAGGGTGCCTGGCTTGGGAAAAACCCTATGCCTTGAACCTACACTTACACTGCGCCCAGCGTCCTCTGCTTGAAAGCTCTTTTGACTTAGAAGGCCCGCCTACTGTTTCCAATGACCACAAACGCCTGTCACTAAGCAGTCTTTTTCTGGATCAAAACAGTCTCTAAGTATTGCAACGAAAGGTGGCAAGTGATGAATATAACAGCCACACGGCATCATCGCCTCAGCCCTTGAACCTAAGAAAACCATAACTGGGGTTATATAGGGATAATGGAAATGGAAACTACTATTTAGAGTTTAGGCTCAGGGTTTAGGGTTTAAAGGTTTACGGCTTCAAAGCCTTGGACGCTCTTGCGCTTCTTTATTGGAATCACCTTTTAAACAGCATTTGTTGGATTATCCTTCCGGGAGCTTGGCCTCAAGGTAATTATACAGCCTGATGATCAACGGTGAACCGGAAATGTCGTTTAGCCCGGCAGGCCTGAATCGTTAGGTCCCAAATTCTCCAGAACACTTAGGCCTCAAACCCCACGACGGCTAGCTGTTGCGCAAAGATACCTGCCTTCGAAAATTTTGAGGAAGACTCGACAAGAGGCCCCATGAACCTTGCACCACGGAGTCCTTAACCTTAAGCCTGCGAACCCTAAACCCTAAACCTCAAAGTCCCCTAGACCCTGTCCACATTCGGATCCGGCTGCGTCCGGCACGCGCCAGCCCTCCACTGAGGTCGTCGGCTAGGCCCCAATCGATCAAGGTCAGGGTCTTGGAGCTCTCCTCTGCAGGGTTTGTGGTTTTGGGTTTAGGGTTTAGGGTTTAGGGTCATAGGGGCTGGGAGGAGTCTGTTGATGGGAGCCATACATACTTTTTGCAAGGGCGAGGATCTTGACGCTCTCCACTTCAGACACAGTAAGACAGAATGTTGGGAGTACCGGTGGCCATGAAGATATGGCTTTAGCTCTCGACGAGAGTTTCGAATTTTAAGGGTCTTCAGTCTTCGGTGCTACTGAGGAGAATCATGACCTTGGCATCTCATGCGAATAGCCATAACAGTGGCATGCGTATACTTTGTAAGGTCTTGCAGCTGCTGCATTCAGGGCGGGAAAGAATCAGATTCCTAAGCAAGCTGATACGGGCAGTGGTATACCTCCACTAAAAATGTCCGGTAAGGGTCTTGGAGCTCTGCTCTGTGGGGCTACTAAGAACAAACATATATGCATTATGAACATGCACTGGTTTAGCCATACTCTGGCTTTCAAATCACAAGGCTGTCCAACCTTCAAATCTACTAAGGCTGCTTTTAATGTTGGTTATCATAAGAAGGCGGATGCCGTCAGGCTGCTACGAGTGATCGTAGACGTTCCGAAGACATGAAGAACAAACCGTAAGTCCTAAACTCTATTCTTCTGATGTAGAGTGAAGATTTGCGAGCTTCCCTCTTCAGTGCCGTCTTGGAAGTTTAGGGCTTCGGTTTCCATGATAATGATGGCAGGCACCACAATGCTCAAATGCGAGCAGTCCTACATAGAATCTGTACATGAGATTCAGAGTTAGCCTCCTTGAGCTTTATTCTTCACATTAGAAGTTTTTGCAAAGAGTAGCCCTAAACTGCCCTGAATCCCAAACCTTCAACCCAACCCCCCAAAACCTACGGTGCTGATGCCCACCCAAAAGACTCCCTTGGCGTAGCTGCCTCAACGTTGAGACACCAACTCTGAACCACTTCATGCACCACGGCTTAGGGTTCAGGATTTAGGGGGCTCCACATCCCAAACACCTTGCCCTGGATCCTGGAACTAAACCCAAGATCCGCAAAATTCTGCACGGGAGGCCTGCGCAGGATGAAGGTGTAGCTCTGCGGCTCTACAATTTGAATTGATAACCCAAACAAGTCGCCCCACAGCCCTCAACCCTAAGCAGTAAAACCTAAACCCTAAACTAGCCTAAGCCCCAACAACAACCCGCAAGCCTCCCAGTACCAGTTTCCGGGGTGCGGATCACCCTGAAAGAAGCCTTGCTCCACCATCAGGTAGCCTTCAAAATCAAAAGGCTTCCGGATGTGGGGCACAAAAAGGGCTAAGGTTTGTGGATTTTTGAGGGCCTCTTTTTGGGAGCCAGCTTCAACATGTAAAGGCCGGGCTCTGAAGCTGTGCTGGGATGCTACAAGACGGTCCTCTGGATTCCAGGAGACTACATCCAGGAAACTACAAGATTTTATCTGGGGTCCCTATTCCTTGGAAAGCTGCAAGTGGAAGGACGCCTCTATCTATCTGGAAAAGAAAGCGCAGAAAGTCAGCTGTGAGCTGGCTTAACGTATGACTGGTCGAGTTTGTAGAATGTCCATGTCAAAGCCTGGAATGGGGCCATGGTGGGGTGAATGTAAGGTCGAGTGAGTTTGTTATAGTGTGCCTGGTATACAGATCCGAAGGCAAGGGATTCGGCTTCAGGGATGGGGCTGTAGTGGCGAGCATGGTCTGCGGTGCCTGGAGCGAGAAATGAACCATGCACCAACAAGCATGCTCAGTGACACCTCATAACCCGGGCTTTCCAAGAAAGTGCCCCTGTTAACATCGACAAAACACAACCTCCTCCCCTTGACCCAGCTGCTCCCAACAAGTCAAGTGGCCGTAGAGGCCCATGATAGAAGGATAGATCTCTGTGCGCCACTGCTTAAGCTTGTCGACCTCGCACGTAGCGCGCTGCTTGCAGCGCTTCTCAAGGGAGACATGTCTAGACTTGCTGGGTTGCTGTTAAGGAACGAAAATTACCATCATGAGTATATATGGTAGTTAGTAGTTAATATAGTTCCCCCAATATAGTAATTAAACTTAAATTAAGTTCCTTAACAGCAACCCTGGTTGGGGAATTGGGCTTGAAGTCGTGAGGACCTGGCAATGGTACAAGTGGTACAAGCCTGCCTGTCCTGCCCTGCATCAACCTTCCGTAAAGTCCTGGCAACTGGGTGTCTGTTCGAGCCCTTCAACTTTGATTGCAGTTACTTTCTTTTAGATTTTAGAGGTTGTTACGACCACGGCACGCAATTTGCGTGTCAAACCCCTCGCCCTGAACCCCTCGTGTGAGTTTCCAAGAAGGGCTCCCGAAGTTAATGTGGCATCTTGCAAAGACCTATCCAGAATCGGGATCGATTGGCATCAACCCGAAACTATGATCTGATTCCTTCTTTCCTTTGAAAAACTTGAACAGCGATTGAGATTCGCGAGACAAGATTGCCTGGCCGGTGATGGAGGCGTGGTAGGCAGTGAGGGTGTCGCCCTTCGCAAAGCTCTGGACCATCACGTAGCGGGACCTCGACTGTTCAGGAGTCTTGGGAAGCCATGCCCTGGACCCCAAACCCTAGACCCTAAACGCTAAACCCACGCATGACACACAGCGGAGTGCCGGGGCACCAAGTTTGGAAGTGCAGGCGCACTTGCAGAGATTAGCTAAGGAATGCAAGACAACTTGAAACCCAAATGGCAGCACCAATGCCAAAAGTTGCTCACCTACAAACACATGACGCACAGGTGAAGCACGGCATCTACTTTAGGAAAGCCAGCCTGCTGGGGATGTGGAGTTGGGGCGTAGGGGCTGCTTGGGTTTCCAGTGCTTCTGTCCTACCACTGGGGCGCCGCTGCTCTGTAGGACTGCCATTTTGCGCAATCCGGTCCCACAATCCGGTCAGGAGTTTACTTGCACTATTGCGCTCTGAGGCGCGTGGTCATCATCACCTTGGGCACATCAAAGGTGATGGCATCGATGCCCAGCTGCTTCTTCAGAGCCTAGCAATCGTGGATCTGGGACTGGGGGTTTGGTGTCATCATAGCCGTAGCTCAGACAGAGGTGGCGCTGAAAAGGCCAAGCCCTCTGTGAGTTTGAGATGGACAGATGTCCCCCTCTATTTCATTCCATTTGACAGATTACTTCCAGCAAGAGAACAACATGGAAACACACAAGATGCAAAAAAGATCCATTTTGCCAGCCAGCGTTCTGCCGTGAGCGGTCAGCAGTTGCTGCTGCATGTAGGGCGTTGCTTGGATGCAGCGAATACAGTTGTGCGATTTGATGACTACCCCCTTTGCCTCGACATGGCAACCTTAGTCTCTCCAGCACCTGGCGCTATAGATAGCACTGAGAAGTTACAGGGCTCTTGCCAGTGAACGGCATGTAGTGATTCACCTTTTGGGGTTTGGGTGGCGGCACTTCAACCGAGTTCAACTGGAGCGCGCAGAAACACTCAGGGAAAAATGGGTCTCCCTCTTTGGTCTTGGGAAACCCTGCTTTACCAGGAAACCCAGTCAAGGTTCCCAAACTCCTATCCTCAAACCAAATGCTTGCAAACCGTAAACCCAGTCCATGAGCACATTCACTGTTGGGACCCTAAACTGGGTTGCTGTTAAGGAACTTAAATTAAGTTACCATAATGGGTATATATAGCAAATAATAGGGTTTCCCCAATACAGTAACTTTATTTAAGTTCCTTAAGAGCAACCCAGTAAACCCCAAGACCCCAAGACCTCATCCAGGTTGGGGTGTGCATGCTATCCGGGGCCTTGTCAGCGTCGAAGCCCTTGATGATCTTCAGGCCTTTGGAATTCATAACTGGTTGGGTTGGCCCCTAAAACCCTTTGAAAAATATGAATATATAGGATCCCCTAGTAGAAAATATTAAATATCCCAAGGGCCTACCCAGTTGGGCTTAGGTCCATGTAGCAACGGCGAAGAGAAACCAACCTCATGATTGGGAACCGCGTGTCACCTCCCCTTCAAGTAC